AAGTACTCTCTCTCCTCCTCTCTCTCTCTCTCTCTCTCTCCCCATTATGCGATCGTCCAATTTCAGCAAAACCATACAAAACTACTCTCCCTTCTTATACAAGATACATCTCTATTCTCCCTCTATTTGAATCCCCGGCCATTTCCTAAATAAGCTTTTTGCATTTAGTTTTGACCTTATCATTATGGCTAGTGATGTACTTTACATATGTGGGTGTATGTATATGCACTACAATTTCTCCATATTAACTATAGATGATTTCATCTCTTTGAAAATTTATGGCATATGGCAAGTGTGTAGTGCCTTGACTGTTTTTATTTCAATCACATCACATTTAATAATTTTTATTTGATTTTCTCTCTGTGCTTTTGGGTTTTACTTTTCTTATTGTATGTATGTTTTGTGATTGAGGACTTATGGCCTCACTGATGGTATAGCCCGTAATAGAGCAGAATGGCGGACTAGGATTTGTGTAGCCGACCCCAATTAGTTGGGAAAATGCTTTGACGATGATGATATATGTTTTGTGATGTGTAACCTGCAGTCTGTTCATCATTTTTCGATGTTCTTGACAATCTGTTCATCATTTTTTGATGTTCTTGACATTCTTTTCATCATTTTTCGATGTTTTTGAATGGAAATTATATGACCATGAATGCATGATTCTTATTGTTTTTGTGTAATGTTTTATTGTACGCTTATGAAATTTTGCATGCTTTGTTCAGGCCTCATCAGTTGATTCAGTTCAAAATTCTGTATGTATGACTCTTGCATGGAGAAAATTGAGAATTACTTTATGTTTAGTTTTTTGATTTGTTGACTGAATTGATTTTGATGTTATTTCGTGTCCCATCCATTGTAAATATGCGGCACATGTTGGTTGTAGCAGTTATGTTAATTTATTTACAGGTTGGATATCTAATACTAATTAAGTTTTTTTTGACTTGATGAATTAGATGTCCTTATATCTGAGATGTCTCGATCAATCTTATGATGTCTATGATGCTGTAAATCTCGCATCTTTTCCCATGGGAAATTTGTTGTGGGATTATTGGTTGAATAAAATGGTAAAAGATCAGCGCCAAATTCATTTGAAAGTCTAGATGCACATACTGGCTAGTCACTGAGGATCCAAGGATTGGAGTCTCCGTGTAGGATCTCTTCAATGACTTCTGTTTTTATAGCCTATGGAAAATTAAGACCCTCCTGTGAGGGCTCATTTATGAGAATAGACTGCAGTGTGTGAAAAATTGGAAGAAAAGTTCTGCTTATCCAATATGCCCTGCGAATATCAATAACCTCCCATACTTGTGTGTTGCCTTCCTCACTTGTTAGCTTTGCACATAACCTAGAAATGGGAATCAATGCGTGTTATCTAGGTAACTCTGCTCCAAAGGTTTTCATATGTGGAGTATGGACTTGATGTGGTCTCTATGCAGGCATATTGTCTCTGATGCGATAAATAAGTTTTAAACAATTGATGAAATTAAAAAAATATAAGAATACAAAGAATAACATGAATATGTGATTTATGTTAAAGTACACATTTTAATTTAGCATTTATCTCTAATATACGTGTTGTTTGAGTCGCTGATAGCCTGATAAACAATAACATAGACATTTTCTGTCACTATTTTTTGATGCGATTCACATGTAAAATAAATTGATACATCACATTTATTAAATTAATATAACACAAAAGAAACTATATTATACCAAGTTACCAATCAAGCGCTTATAAAATAGAATAGCATCTAGCAGCTATAAGTATAATGTAACATATAGCCAAAACCCAAAAAAAAAAGATTATTGATTGATCCCCTTACAACCAGGAAACTGGTTTTAAGGGCTTTTTATTGGGGAGGGGGTTGTATACATCACCAAACCCTTTTGCCCCTTTTGGTGGGGGAAATGACCAAACTGCCCCTGCTTGTGGGCATCATTCCACCCATGAGCAGGCTCCTGTTATGCAGGCATCACCTTGAGTGATGTGCCTGCATATGCGGGAGATGTGTCACCTATGCAGGCCCATCATGCTAGTGCCCTTTGGTGGGTGTATGCAGTCGCCCAAGGGTGCATCTTCTTTGATGTGGCTTCATGAAATGTTATGAGGCTGCGTTTGATAACTATTTACTTCATATCTTCTTTTGGCTGTATGCTATGCAGGTTACTTCATACCTTCTTTTGGCTGTATGCTATGCAGGTTATTACTGAAGTAATGCAAGATATTTTACCACTTCTAAATACACACGCCTTGACATCTAATCCAATTTTTTCCGTTATGCAGCAATTGCTTTTAAAGCAAATTCCTTCATGTTTTGAGTTGAAGTGCAGAGCATACAGCTTGCTTAGTCAATGCTACCATTTAGTGGGTGCAGTTCTTCCTCAGAAGCAGATGTTGATAAGGGGCTTGGAATTGATTGCTTCTATTGGAGATGGGTATGTATAGGCTCATTTCCTACTGTAATTCATTTAATAGTGTAGCATGGATTTTTTTAATCATATTTTGCATTTCTTCAATTGCTGTATTCCTGTCTTAAATCTTATTTTTGTTTTCTGCTACACCAAATTTGTAAGGTCCTTGTCAAATCTGGACTAGACTGTAGTTTTTGCTGTTATTTTGTTCTCGTTTCCTCCAGTGGTCCAGTTCAACCTTGTTACCAATGTTTGACTACTAAGGCGAGTTGACTCAGACTTGCTTGAGTAACTCGGCCAGGCAGAGTGCCTTGCGTGAGCCTGAGTCCCGCCTCCTCCCCCCTTACCGCCCCAAAAAAAACGAAGAACAAGAAGAAGGAAAAACTCAGGGGAACGTAAAAGTTTATTAAAATCAATTAAAACAGGTTTATCATAGATTTTATTAAATCAATTATAATAGTCTTATTATTAGTTTTTTATATACTTTTCATGGTTTTGTATTTTTAATTATTTTTCTTACTTTTTATATATCTTATCGTATTTTTAATTATTTTTCTTACTTTTTATATATCTTATCATTTTCTGAGAAAATGATATTTAAATATTATTTTTTATTTTTATTTCTGTTGTTTATTATTTTCTGTGTGTTTTCCTTATTTTTAGTGATTTTTCAGGCTTTTTTCCAATTGGTATTTTTGCTATTTTTTTGGCTTGGTTCAAACTCGGTGTGGCAACTTGGATTTGCCCGAGCAACTCAGCTGGGCCAGGACTCAAGTTCCATGACCTAGTCGAGTTTGAAAACAGTGCTTGTTATTAATGTCTCTCCTATGCATCTTCTAACAAATGAACTCCTCAAATACCAAACCCGGCTGAGTATGAAGACTAAATGATTTACCTGTGGTTTCGCTTCTCTTAATTGCCTTAGAAGATTGAAAAAAAACACAATTCTTTTCTCTAACTTACACATTTTATGGTAAATCTGTGTAATTTAGTTTTTATATAGCAGGGAGAGGGGTTAGTTTGACTTGATATTAATCAAACTATTCCTAGTTGTAGTATATACTCCTGAAATGGAAATCATGGAGTTGATATAATGCAACTTCCATGAACCATCTGGCTGACTTGGCACTTTTTTCTCTTTCTTTCCTTCTTGATAAACATGAGCAATTTACCATGTACCTTACAAGTTTTTGAAAAGTTGTTTCTTTCCTTATCTTAGACATTAGCCTAAGGTTGAGAAGCTAATTATTTAGTTATCACTCTACGTCTGAATTCCTTTTTGTGGCATTGTCGATAGACTCAGTACTGTATTTCACTTATTAATTATCTCTTTCATTTAGTTAACCTTTTCTCAAGAAAATTCTCTCTTTTATTTTTTAACTGAGAACATCTCTTATGTTAGCAGATAGCTTTACTCAAGCTATTTATAGCATTTTGAGAGGAAATAAATTTTTATTGGGATATAAATTTTAAAAAGATTGGATCGGTTGAGCTGAAGCATTCTTTGCCATTTGGGTATTTATTTTAGTGTGAAAATCCAGAACTTAAATGTTGGGATTAACTTGCTCAATCTTCTCTAAAGCTTGTCAGGACAGTTGTGGTTCTGTAACTTCAATATACAACTTGCAAATGCTTTGATAATAGAAGGAGATTATCGAGGTGCACTATGTGCTTTGGAACGTGGGCAGCAGTGTGCTGTTGCGACAGGTTATATTGAACTTCAGGTACATAGGTCCACAAAGCTCTCATAGTTCTTGTCTCTATAATCTATCACATTTTTCTTCAAAATATTTTCTGATGCCTTCTTTTTCTTGTGAAGTTGGTTTTTGCAACTTCAGTGCTGCACCTACACCTCATGCAATGGGAAGATGTAAATGCTGTCAAGAGAGCTGTTGAAAAATGTGATGAAGTTTGGGCTAGTGTTCCACCTCATCTGGTAGGCCCGTATATACTTTTGTCATGGTATCTTTGTTCCGTGCATTGTAGCCTAACAAGCTATTTAATGATTTGAATGCTCTCTTCACCTTCTAAATTAATCATGCTATCCCTGCCTCTCTATTTCTAAGTTTCCATGGTTGATTTGGGAAGTTTGTAAAACTCAAGTTGATCCAATTTCCTCTAGGATACAGTTAAGTTATGATATAATTACTTCTCATTTCTTTGGTGATTATAAGTTTTGATATCAAATTGCTTCAGCAATAGTGAGTGTCAGAAACAAATTATGTATTATTGGGTGAATATGATTCTCATAATCTGTTCCTTTATAACTACATTCAAGAGTTTTAAGCAATAATCACTAATTTTCATGTATTTACCTATCTTCTTTTGCTACTTTCAGAGGCAGCCCTGTGTTGGTTTATATCTTTACAGTGAGCTATTGCACGCATTTTATCTACTCAAAGTATGTGATATCAAGGCTGTCGCTCAGCATGTTGACAAGCTTGATGCTACTTTAAAAGATGACTATCAACACACAAGTTCTGGTAATGGAGAATTGCATGAACAACTGATGTGGAGGAATAAACTAGGGTTGGCTCCTGCTCCACTTAATGGGGAGTGGCTTCCCAAAAGCGCTGTCCATGTTCTGGTTGATCTTGTTGCAGTTATATCTGGGCGTCCGAAAGGGTTATTCAAGGAATGTGGGAGACGGATTCAATCTGGATTGCGTGTGGTTCAAGGTACGCATCGTATGTCAATTGCTTTATTGGGAAAATATGCTATGGTTGAATGGGCATTGATTGTCCATTGTGCGTTTGGGTTATCACTGTCCAATGAAATGATGGATCAATTGAGAGAGCGTGTACCCGCCTTATGGGTCCTGTTCTGTTTTGGTGGGTCCTATTCTTCATCACCATTTATTTCAATGGACTGTAATGGCCCCTTGGACTATGGTTTCAGAACAGTCCACTGGATTATAGTACACTTTCTCTACTGTAGTGTAGAGTTGATGTTTGAGGTATCTGTAATCGATCGCTGATTGCCCCTTGTTAGGGATTTTTCACAATCTTTTTGTTAATCTTCTGTGATACGAAGTGGGTCTGGCTACATTCCTATTCCTGTGAACCCTCAATTTAACGAGTTTACTGAATTTTATATTTGAAATATACACTGACGATGGCCAATAGTGTCTAAATTGCTCTGTTATGTGCAGAGGAACTAGAGAAGCTCGGAATCATTAATAATGTGAGAGGTCAGCTTTTCATCCGCTATTAGCTTGCTTTGTATGTTTCAGTTGTGCATGTGCAAAGAGATGTTGTTCTTTCTTTATAATACACTGTTTTCATGGTTTGGCATATTTTTTCTTTTTTTACTTCTATTAGATCGATAACCTTAAATGTTGAATTTTCTTTCATATTTATAGTTATTGAATTTTCCTAGTTTGCATGGATCATTACTAAGACTTACAACCTTATAATCTAGCATTTCATGTGCAGAGGTAGATTTGCAACACTGGGCCATATGGAAGTCAGGCACATATTTGATGCTGCTCATGCACTTATTGGAAAACAAAGTAATAATTGAGCTCACGCGATCTGAATTTGTTGAAGCACAAGAGGTACTCAATTGCAGTTTTTATTTTTGCATTTGACTTTATTTTTCTGAATGGAAAGTATGAGAGGCCATCCAAATCAGTTAGTAAATATTGTTTCTTTTTCATTTTGGAAATCTAACTAAATACTGGCTATATGCATATTACCTTAATTGTATCAATTTCTCTAATGAAAGAACTGTTCAATGGTATCATATTTACTGTTATTTATGTTCTCCAGGCACTTATTCTAATGAAGAAATGGTTTATGCGCTTCCCCATTATTTTGCAAGGGTGCGAAAGCACAATTGAAATGCTCATTGGCCAGTATGCACATTCCCTAGGATGCTTTAACGAAGCTGCTTCACATTTTATTGAAGCAACAAAGGTTTGTTATTGGGTCTTGTCCTTTGCATGGTTATTTCTGTTTTTTGTAATTGAAGATACTGGAGGCGACAATGAGTTAATTTGGGTGCTGGAGGATGGCAATGAGAATAAAGTTGCAAAATTCATGTAGTAGGATGAATTTAGCAAAAGTAACTGTTGAATGGTATCAACTTTTCCTAATGTTTTAAAAAGAAGCATTGTTAATTATGCATGTGGTGTTTTGGGGACGGGAAAGTATCCTATATTTTCGGCTATATGAGAAAGTATACTATTCACAGAAGTATACCATGCACACAAGCTTATATAGTCAAAGGCTACCACGCTCCCATCACTGTCCAAATTGAGGATGTATGGTGGTGATGATTCCTATCTCCATCAAAGTCGGCCATTGTTCATCAAGAGGAGGAATGGTCATTACCACTATCCGTACTTGATGAAAGATGGTGAAGAGAGGTGCATTTAAAAGGTTCACTGCACACATTCTGTTTACAGTATAGTCTCACCTGGAACGACCTATGTCCTTAATAATCTGGCTTGCTGGTCATGTTTGGGAAAATTTATCATTATTGCACGTTTTTTATGAACTTTTGGATTGCTGATCACTGGATTATTATCTGGATTTTGGATAGAAGTTTGTATTATAAGAGAACAAAGATAGATTAATGCCTTGATCATCATTTTCCAGCTTACTGAGAGCAGATCCATGCAAGCTATGTGCCAAATTTATGCAGCCGTGTCTTACATTTGTATTGGAGATGCAGAATCATCGTCTAAGGTAGTTAGTTACTTGCCCATAGCCACAGCTCTTACATGCTGTTTATTATCTTGGGCACTCTGGTTTCTAGCTGTTGGTTTTTTATTAATTTGGTGACTCACTCTGACATAGTTATTTCATGTTCCATCAGGCATTAGACTTAATAGGGCCCATTTATAGGGCCATGGACTCTTATATAGGAGTGCGAGAGAAAACATGTGTTCTTTTCACTTATGGGCTTTTGCTGATGAAGCAACACAACTTGCAGGAAGCTCGGTAAGAATAATGCAAATCACTGTGGTGTTGGTGGTATTTATACTGTTATTTACATGACGTCAAGTTGTCGAAATATTAAAAAATTAATTTGAAGTCATATTGATGCGATGGCATGCCAGTCCCAAGCCCGGATGAAGGAGGATGGTTGTGTTAAGTAGGGAAGCTAGTGTAAAACTTAGCTAGATCTTTTCATGAATCCTGAACCTATGTGGCGGAAAAAGATTTGTGTAGCCAACCCTAAATAATTGGGATAAGGCTCGGATGATGATGATTGCTGCGGTGGCACTAGTGAAAGGATTGAGGAATTCTAATTTGAAAATGGGTATTATATAAATAGTCCTTCTGTGAGTGTGAAAGCACAATCCTAGAAGTGCTGGCTTCAAAAATCCAGATGTATATTACAGTTTGTGCAAAGATTGAATTTGAGTAAATTTAAAGACACTTACTAGTATGCTGCGGTTCAGTGTTCTTGTTACTGTCTTTCAATATCAGATATAATTCTGGTCTTTGGTTTTTTTATTGGAGAATAACTCTGGTATTTGCAATAGTTTTGTATTACCTTTTTCATTGCTACTTATTTTGTTCATCTATTTTGATTAATGACTGTGTCTCCATTTTTCTTGTGGGAACTGTGCGTTCAGAATCCGACTGGCAAGTGGTTTGAGGTTGACACACCAACATTTGGGCAATATTCAACTTGTTTCCCAGTACTTGACAATTCTTGGAAGCTTGGCTCTTGCTCTCCATGACAGTGGGCAAGCCAGGGAGATTTTGAAGTCTTCTTTGACATTAGCCAAGACACTTTATGACATACCTACACAGATTTGGGTGCTATCAGTCTTAACAGGTACACATGGTCTATGTCCTTTCTGAGTGATATAGACTTAGTTGGTAGGTTTTGGTTGGACCATGGCATGTATTGATATTTTGAATCTATTTCATCACATTCATATCGAAACTATTAATTAAAAAGAAATATCACTATAATGATGACCTCAAAAAAAAAAAATTATACACATTTTACTGAACATTGACAAATACGACTTAATCTAATGCACTTGTGTGGTTCATTTGTTGATTTGATGAATGGCCTGTTTTGCCATATGAACTCTCTTTACAATCAGTTCTGAAGCTATGAGTGACTCTCTGCAGAGTTGTATCAAGAACTGGGTGAAACTGCAAATGAAATGGAGAACTCTGAGTATGAAAGGAAAAAAGCTGATGATTTGAAAAAAAGAATTTCTGATGCAGTTTCTTCAGTGCATCACCTTGATTTGGTATGTAGATCCTGTTTTCCTTTTGCATTACGGACAGGCATGACCTTTTTCAGGGTTTCATAATTTCTTCACAAAGTAATTATAATTCTGTGGACAGTGGAAACCCATGTATCACTGGAGTCTTCCTAATGAATTGATAATGAAGAGGGAACAAGATCCTCCATTAAGCTCATTTCATGTTTTGATTGTCCTGGTCTCGCTTCTTCCTGTTCTCATTTAAGTATCTATTCATTTGATCTTTTGGAGTATCTTACACTTCTATTAATCTTGTTTGCACAGATATGAAACTTGCAAAAGCATAGAATTAGAGAAAGGACATGAATGGGTTTAATGTCCTGATCACACTCAAATTTCTTGGATTTGGACCCTTTTTTTTTTTTCATTACAGAAATTGGCATCAAACACCTGTTTTATTAAATTATTAATAGAAAAAAAAATGGATATTTGAATGTCCCAAAAGAGGGGAAAAAAAAAGAAGAGAAAAAGAAATAGGGGAGGTTGAGAATTTTGGTCATTTTTCTCTTTTATATTTTAATTCTTATTCCTGTTTAGCTGGAATTCTCTGTAATTGTAACTGATCACCCTGACATTTTTCTACAGATCCAGACTCAGGTGGACAAAGTTAAACTTGAGGTCCAGCAGTTGCAAGAGCTCGACATCAAGAGAGTCCAGCCTGCTTCTTCTTTGAGAACTGATCTTGAGATCCCAGAGTCCATGGATATGCTCGTACAGTCATCGTCTGCTTCATCAAAACTATCTGCTGAAAGGAACAGGAGCCGACGAAAAGAAAAGATGCATCTTCCTTAATCGATTTTAATTATAGAACAAATCCCATCATCTTGCTCATGGGTACCTTCTGATTCTTAGTTTCCAAAAGGGCATTTTGGCTTCATGGGTGCTTCCATACTTTTTTCGTATGTATATGCTAACATCTATATGATCTGTGCAGCTCTGTAGCATTTCAAAAGCATTTCAGAGAATCATTGGATAGAACGTTGTACTTCCTTTGTGAGTCTGTTTGTTTTGAATGTATGTCATACCAAAGTATGAAATAAGAAAATGTTTTTACTCTGAACTCTCAAATTATGACATGAATAGAAGCTTGATCTCTTTGGGGTAGGCATTTAGGAAGGTGACCATTATCCAATGGACTAGGGGAAAACCATATTCTATTAGATCCTCTTCATATGGACTTAACTGTAGTACCTTGAAATCTTTTGTTTGCCTATTTATGGGTTCCGGTACTGGCTTGTCCTAATGACCGACAGTCTAATCAAGTCATCCATCTGGCCCATAGTTACTGGGATCTCTCAATTTGATGGCAATCTAGGGGATCCCATGCCCCCAGAGCTGGCCCTTGGGTGGATCTTGCTCCTGTATGGGAGGGAGGGGGGGGACACGATCTTTTATGAGGAAACAAGTACCAAATGCATATTTGTTAAAAACAAAGTAATTATCTTGCAAAATGTTGTTCTATATATTTCTAAAGAGAAAAGATATATGTTTGCCACATGGGTTTTAGACCTTTAGAACTTATCATGCGATTCCAAAAATGTTAGGATCTAGCTCCCAACATGTTAGGATCGAGATCTCTAATTCAAGGTGTATGAATGTCAATCCTGACCATGGGGAGCTTCTAGCCTATCACAATCCCATGTTCCCAATTTCACTGCAGGTCCCGATTCCAACAACTATGATCTGGCCATCTTTGTTCTTATTTATATGTTGGACAAGTTAGTTTAGTCGGATGGTGGTCACATTTGATTGTTTTAAGTCTTGTTATTAGGATGAGTTGGTGCATGTATTTACAGAAGTTATGTGAGTTTGGGCATATGTCAGACCTTCAAGAGCCAAAAGGGAATACTTATAGGCCCCTCTATGAAGATTAAAATGTCAAGCATCCACATGCCGCCCATAAGACATTAAGAGGTTTAGAGGGACACTGGTCTGCGGTTTCCTCAACAAGGTATGCATTTATAACATTTGAGCGTTTTTATTACTTTGCAGGTATCTTTTTCTATTCATGTTTATGACCTTTCTCTTTGATAAATTTTGCATGCCGATGTTATCATTCAAGTATTTAGCATATTGCACTCCTCAACGGAAAAAAGAACACAAGATGAGGAATTCTTCCAAATATCAGTGTATCAAAAAGCGCCAGGCGGGTCCTAGGCGGGAGCCCATAACTTGGGCGGCTGCCCATATGAAAATAAAAATAAAAATCCCAATATACCATATTCCAAGTTGAAAAAAAAAAGATAGAAGTCGAGAAGAGAATTTTGATAATCCATATTGTTAAAACCGTAAATTGTAAAACCATACAAGTGTAGGATATAAAAGTCAACACTCAACACAACAAAAATATACAGAAATTTAGAAAATATATAGTCTAACAAAAGTCAACACTCATGACTCAACACAACAGGCAACAGACGCAGCACTCAACACTCAACAGTCAACACCAAGTGGCAAGAGTCTTCAGTCATCATCATCATCATCAAAAGGAATGTCAATAGGGTAAGCCTCATCATATGCATCAGAGTCGAGGCCATCATCATCTGAGTCACCTCCCTCTTCAATATAACGCTCGTCCTCCTCTTTTTTTTCTGAATCTGCCTCTTCCTCCTCTTCTTCTACCTTCTTCTCACTAGTATGTGCAGTCTGTGCAGATGAGGCCTTAGGAGTCTTGGTTGCTCTTGTATAATTTCCTCCTTGGTAGTTTCAGGAACATTTTACACGGGGCAACATCCCCCGTAATACCGGCAAGGTGTTTTTTAAACCAGTAAATGCCCCTATTAGTATCCTTTCCACAATAATTACATTTAATAAGATTTTTATCACTTGGATTCGGGTTGTAACCATACTTCCAACCCGGATCACCACTCCGACTAGAAACTGGAGAAGATACTTCCATAGAACAAGGCTTATTTTCATCCTTTTTTGGTTCTTCAAAATTAAGAAGATTTCTAATCTCATCTCAAATTGCTTCAGGAACCGTTGTACAAGAAGCAATATTACCTTCAACACCATCAAGGTGTTTTTTTGAATCGGCTAATACCCCTATTGGTATCTTTTTTACAAAAATTACACCTTATACAATTTTTATCATTTGGTTTTGGGTTGTACTCATACTTACAACCCGGATCACTTTTTCTAGGAGTAGCAGAAATAGATATATGACAAAGATTTTGTTCTTGTTTTTGTTTTTCATAACTTTAAAATTGCTTGATCTCCTCCTTGATAGCTTCAAAAACATTTTTACAAGGGCCAACATCCCCCTTAATACCGGCAAGATATTTATTAAACCGGTTTATGCTTCATTTTGTATTTTTTTCACAAAAATTAAATCTAACGCAATTTTTGTCATTTGGATTTGGGTTGTATCTATATTTCCAACCCGGATCTCCACTCTGACTAATTCTTGAAGAAGGCATCTCAAAATAAAACAAGCAATCTAAAAAATGCACTTACTTTGGTTGCTTGAAGTCCAAACTTTGAGAAACACTTCGATGATTCGATCCAATAAAATGTAGTTTTTTTGGAGGTTTCTGTTACTCTAAAAGGGGTTCTGGTAGGTTTAGGGTTCAAATGAACCTAAAAGCCATCATTCTTAAGTTTTATATCTTTGGGCAGGGCGCAGGCCCTGGGCGGCCGTTTAAGCGGATTCCGTACCGCCTAGGTGGCCTCCCAAGGACCACCGCCCAGTTTGGCCGCCTAGGCCTGGGTAATGTGCCCAGGCCTTCTAGACCACTTAGGAGCTGGGTGGTCCGCTTTTTGAACTATGCCAAATATATTTTCTATTTTTCTGCCTGTCCAAAATTTTGCTTATGGAAAAAACTTGTTATTTTTTTCAAGCTTGTTTGCATGTATGTGTGTATAGTATGTATGTATATTATACATTATACAATTTAAAAAACGAAGTATATATTAACATACTGTTCAGTTTATGTATGTTTATTTGCGTGTGTGTGCTTATGTGCTTGTTATATGAGATAATAATTTTGACTGCAACTGGTGAAGGAGTGCACATCGATTATAGAGTTCCTCAAAGCTAAATTTGGTTGGAATTGACTGGGAGTGACGTGGTTATTTTTGGGGCGGTTTGCCAACTTGAGATGGCGAGGAAATGCTTGGCTACCAACAGACAAGAAATCAATTATTTATTTATTTTCTTTTCTGTTTTGGCTCAACATGTAATCCTCTTGTAACATTCTTTATTACAAGGTTTTTGTTCCACAAATTATTCTTAAATTTATTTTCCTCACGATTTTCACTGATATGCTTTGGTAGTAGATGCTACAGGTCTCATAGGTTTAAACTATTGTTTTGTTCATTGTCATTTTGTGTGCTTTTAGGGGCCTTGAGGGTAATCCAAATCTAGAGGTACGAGTAGGTAACAAGTCTTGGGCTATGCACTTCCTTTTTTTTGTTCCATAATGCGGAAATGTTTTGGGCTGTGAGTTGGGCATGCATGCATACATACAGGTGTGTATGTGTGTGTGTGTGAGAGAGAGAGAGAGCGAGAGGATGTATGTGCAAACTTTTTGAAGATCATTTTCAATGCTAGGGAAATTGTCTAGTGTCATTTATACTTTGGTATAAAGGTTACCCGTACGGGCCGATCGATTTGGGTTTAACGTAAATACTCTCTCTCTCTCTCTCTCTCTCTCTCTCTCTCTCTCAGATATGCTTATATTTTGTTTTACCCAGATTTACTAAGCTTGTGTCAGACTTTTCATATTATAAAGTTTGCTTTCATCCTTCACACCCTAAAATTTGAAGCTGTTTTCATCATAATAACCTAACTCTCTGTGCCGCGAGATTCTAAGCATTTTTTTCTTTCTAATCGCATCCCCTCCTATCCTTTCTTTTTATAATGACTTTGCTTTTGATGCATAATGGGTGTTTTCTTAGCTTGGTTGATGATGTTTTAACCCAAGACGTGGGCATGGCTACATGTAGCTATGTGTATGTATGTGCCTATACATACATGGTTGTTTGTGTCTAATATGTATCTGGTACGTAATATGTGTGTTCATATGTCTGTGCACACATGCCTATGCAACCGCATGTGTGGGTGTATGCATGTGTCTATGTGGGTAGGCATTGTATGTGCATGCATATATTTGGGTATGAAATTTTCATCATGGTCCAACCATGGTTATAATCAAGGACATCTAAACCTTCCCTTCTCTTATTTTTTCTTAATGATTTTATGCTTCCATATGAACATAATATACATTTGCTCGGTCGAGTACAGTATCTATGAATATTTTTAGGCCTCAAATTTTGGGGATGAAATATCCTCAACCTAGCAACCAACCTCAAAAAAGAAATGCATTCTAAAATCTTTATGTGGCTAAATAAGATAGTATCCTAAAATTCAATAGAGGCTGTCCAATTTTTTGAAAATTAGATCAAAGTGTTTAGAAACTTGTAATCCTTTTTTTTTTTTAAGAAAAAAAATACTTTATCTCATGGTTCCTGAGTAGGTCACAAATTTCAGATCGGAGAAAAATCCTCATAACTTTCTGTTCTGCGGCTTCTTCAAGGGACTAAGTATGTGGTGTGCTCTAAGAGGCTACGCTATTATATTCTTTATTTGTAGAACAACTAAAGTTGTTAGATATGTTGTTGCTGAGTTGATCATGAAACATGATATGATGTACATCTGAATTCTACAGGATATGCTGGAATTTTTGGCTTCCTTTTCCTGTTGCTTTGGCATTACCAGTTTGTTGAAGGCATGGAACTTTAGGGCAGGGATATATATAGAAACCTCAGACGTTTGTTCCTTTGACAAGAGTCATGCTTCAACAGGTGGTAGGGCAGCAATCTCTTTAAGCGGTCTCCACACAAACTTTCTCCTGATCACTGATTCTTGTAAGTATCATGGGTGCAGAAAATTGAATGTTTTTCAAAGAAACTATGGGAATTCAAAGAGATTATTAATTGAAGGAGATGATCAAATTGGAATTCTCTTGTATTTGGTTACGTGGGGGTTCCCTCCCGAACCATCAGATTAGAAATTTGATGGGTGGTAGCATGCTAGTTACTGATGTTCAAAAAAAAAAGGCATGCTAGTTACTGAGTAGGGGGATGGTAGGTTGTGGGTTGGTAATCACTGTCGTATCACCTTCAGATTTTGAGTCTAAAGATTACAGAACCAAATATGAGGGATCTCCTGGATGATCATGCCCCTTGAATAAAAACAAAAGGGAAAAAACAGTTTAGTTTATAAAGAAATAAGGGTTCTTTAATGCCTGAAAATAACAAAGTATTATGATATGATGAGGATGAAGAGAATGTGACATTAAACAGCAAATGGATATGTGAAGTCCCTTATTTGGCAATGTTGGGATTAGGATGCAAAATGTATTATAGGATGATGGAGGCTATCACTCTTAATTTTGATGGTGAAAGAGTAGAGTTGGAGTTTTGAAATAATTTTATTAATCATTTGGAGCCCTAAGGGTATCAAAAAATTCTTCAAAAAAGGTATATAATAGCGTAGTAATTCTTCAAAAAAGGTGCTCCTTTGATATGATCATTAATGCTTAATACTATAGTTTTCACAGTTACTTGTAAAGGTAAGAAAAGTTGTTCTCCTTGTATGATTATTTGTGTCCAAATGAGGCCTACCTATTTGTAGTTATTGCCATGACAATTATATACGGGGATTGTTCACAAAGAAATCATTTATCTTTCATACATGGAGGTTACAATCATTCGCACTCTTTAGATGTCCAATTGGATTGCTTGGAGTGAGTCACGAAGTCTGAGATTCTTTTTTTTTAAGAAGTTTGTGTCTATGCAATGACACTCTTATAACCACGCATTTTGAAATTTAAGGGACAAGAATGATTGTCGTCTCTATGTATAAAAGATAAATGGTCTCTCTGTAGACAACATCATTTTGAGCTAAAAGATTAACCGTATATCACTATTGTACAACAAATGAAAGAAGCTCTTGGTCATGCATAAAATTTTGTATTAACGAATATGATAATAAAAAAATACACAATGTGAGAGTCTTACCAGTTACCACACTCAGCAATCACTTTGACTTTGGGGCGCAGGCTTGGAAGTAAAGCTAGGAATTGGAGTTCAGCTTTGGATAGCACCTACAGGTAATGAGTTGCATGTGTGAAGCAGAACGTATTTTCTTATTTGGAGGAGTAAAACAAAGTCTAAGAGGAGATATCATTGAACTGATCCAATCACCTCAAGACACGCATCTTTAAATCAACCATTTAATTGACAATTGTTGCCTCAAAATAGATCATTTTACTCTAAGTACATCTTCAACTATTTTGTAAAAAATATGCAAACCCATATTGTTCTTGATTTAGAATCTTGAATAAATATGGTTATTTTGGTAATATATTTGCAAATCCACATTGTTCTTGATTTAGAATCTTGAATAAGCATGGTTACTTTGGTAATTTATTTGCAAATCCACATTGTTCTTGATTTAAAATCTTGAATAAGCATGGTTATTTTGGTAATTTATTCTACTCAAGTGGCCTAAGCCAAAATACAAGTACCTGTGTATGTTTCCACTTCAAAGTTTGGAACATATTTTTCAAATTAAAATCTGTTTGGCTCTGAAACCTAGAACAAGTAGCTAAAACGTTGAGACTGCACTTGATTTGTTGTTGCCAAACTTAGGACATTTTTCCATTAAGATCTTTTGTTTTTGGGGTTTGGATTTTGAAACAAGTAAGGACATTTTGATAAATTGGAAACACTTGTGTTTTGGGCTAAATTATCGAAATACTCTTGCTGATCAAAACTTGGTTGGAAGCATTTTGAGCTTTTCTAAACAAGATATTTGAGGAGTTACTTAAGAGGGATGACGACCGTGATTTTCAGTTCAGATGTGGTTTACCCATTTCAATGATAATTTTTGCAATATTAGTGAATTTTAGATGATCATAGGCTATTAAATTATCACATCCTTGAGGGTGATATGGAGAGTGAGGGAGACCCAATGTCATTTCAATAAACCAACTCATCATGGTTTTTCCACAGTATATTGGGTGATATAGAGAGGGAGTGTGACCCCATGTCATTTCAATAAATCAACTCATTATGGTTTTTCCACAGTCGATTGTGTTATGACTGTCCCTTTATGTCTCATATAGGTACATAAATTCATTTCCATAAATTTATGTATGTGCAGGCATTAGTCTTGATAGCATGGGAAAAGAAATAGGTTACCATATTTAAAATAAAAAAGAAATGGGGTATGTACCTTGGCTTCCATTATCCAAACTACTAGGCCTTTGGCATTTGGTGGGAGGAGAGAGAGCCTGTAGTCTACCTCTGGGGGGAAGTACCATCTAGCTATAGGCTGCCTGCCCAAATGAGCCTGGAAAAAAGCTTGGCTCTTAAAATTTTAGTATTGACACAATAATATTGACTAAGGTATGCCTTAAGTCTTTTTTTGGATAGTTCAATATTAGGATTTGAACTTGGGATGTGATGATGCAATTTTCAACACCTTATTTGTTCATGAAAGAAATATATACAATGAGACCATTTACTTTCAATAAAAGGTCACAATCATTATCGATTGTGGGATTTGAGATTTGGCAGCTGAGTATATGTTATTATTTGGGCACAAAATTCAAAATAAATTTTTTTGAATGTTGTGACAAACACACTTTCATCTATTAGATTTCATATCCAATGGTTAAAAGTGTTTGTGACTTTTTTGTACAAAAAATAAATGGTCTCATGTTATACAATCCCTTTCATGAAATTGAGAGTGTCTAATGATACGATTACTTTTTGTATGAAAAGGTTTATCACCCTAAGCTGAAGTTCAAACACCCCAAGTTGCCAAATGTAAAATTGGAATAGTTATGGTGTCTCATTTATCCAACATATTTGAGGAAAAACAACCTTTTCATACTTAAAAAGAGTGTAGTCACTTAAAGAGTGTAGTCAATGATATTATGCTTGGGTTAATTTGGCTAGAAATCAACATCCAGTCTATCAGAGTTACAGTTGAATTTGGTACCCAAACTAAACCTATAATTCATCAGAGTTATAGTTGAATTTGATATCCAAACTAAACCCATAATTCAGCATTTTTCAGACACCAAAAGCTTGACTTCGGATTATTTGATAAGATCTCAATCACAGTGCAATATACTTTAGCTGGAGTGCAACACTCTTTTTGCACTCTTGTAGGGTATTATCTGTGTACTACATGTCATCTCCACCATCAATTCAGTGATAGATGGTAAAAGTTGTATTCCTCCACCATTATTTTCTCAATCAAAGGAATAGTTCATCTCTAGTCTATGGCATAGAGACTGGGCTGTAGTATACAAACTGATACATTGCAGCTACTATGCTACACCTCTCTCTGTTTCATAATTTTGAATAGTTTCAGTCTAAAAGAGAATCTTGGCTATGTAATTAATAAAAAGCAGAGTGAATATGGTGTACTACAAAAGTTTGTTGTACACTTACTCAGAGGCTAAAGACCTACTTAATAAGGTTTTTCCTTGATATGAAATTTTAGGATCTTTTTTAGAATTATTGTGAGTATTTTTCAAAATAAAAGAGTTAAAAAGTTACAAAAAGCTTAGATATGAACTTACAACTTTTTTCTTGATATGAAATTTTAGGATCTTTTTTAGAATTATTGTGTGAGAATTTTTCAAAATAAAAAAGTTAAAAGTTACAAAAAGCTTAGATATGAACTTACAAATATTGGACTATCTCTGTTTAATCCTAGGGTGTTATTTTTCAGGCAATTCTAGAGTAACTCTCTCTGTTTTTTTGGTTGGTTACTAGGTTGAGGAGGCGTATAATCTTTTGGCGAAGTAAGAAAACAGTACCGGGCAAACAGGGTGTATCTTGGTTAGTGTGGTCTCTGGATCACCGAGTCCTCGGGCCGAGAGGTCGAGGAAGTAGTAACCTTGGTATCTCAACCTTGTGAAGTAGCGACCCTCGTATCCTCCCTCATGAGGTGGGTAAATAGCTAATGCCTTGTGTTCCTCCACATCAGAGAGCCATTTGCCCAAGTCTGGTTTCACTAGGTCACCCCCTATGAAATCTTGTAGTCCACATTTTATTCTACTCCTTAGCTTGGTTTGGCTGAGAAATTTGATAGACTTTGATGCATGTGGTTGCCGGAAACCACTTGTGGTACCGGAAAATGGTGCCGGAGTCGGCGTGTATCGGAAGATGGGGATTGCCATTGAATCCAATGGGGAGAGGGAGCCATGAGATGAGGTAGAGGGTGTTTGGTGGGAGGGGCTCTAATGGTTTTGGTTTTTTTTGTGGTGGAGATATAGGATAAGGGGGAGAGAGAGAGCTATGCAGTGTCTCTATCTGCCACAAGAGAGTGAGTGAGCCTATCTAGTCTCTCTATATGCCGCTAGAGAGAGAAAGAGAGTGAGGAGAGATAATTTGTCACTTTGTATGTGCAAAAGATTTGAGGATGTGGAGAGAGAGAGAGATGAACATATGGGGGAAGAGAAGAGCTGAACACATGAAGATAGAGAAAATGCAGTTTTAGATATGCAAACCGACCGTTATGATGGCTTGAAAAGATATTTCGGCATTTGAATATGACTCTTGAAGCTCTGAAAGTGGTACTGATTTAGTAGATATGTGGATACTTGAAAATGAATGTCCAGATAACATGTATTATACGCTTCTAAAACTTCTTAAAATTACTTGTCAAGATTGATTGGGATGATCAATTTAGTGGTTTTTGGACACGATATGTAATTTTTTTTGATAGATTGAGATGTGGCTGTATTTTTTTATCTTTAAATTTAAGACCTCAAGAATGGGGATGGGGTTGGGGATGTGGTGGTAGCACTATCTGTGTCTCAATTAAGATCTAAGAGTCTATTCTCACCTAACACATTAAAAAACCACTAACAATTTAAAAAGCAGGTAGGGCTTCATCATCCCCATTCAAGTACCTCCTTTTTTTTGTTCTTTTTTTTTTGAAACCTATACTAAGCCTTTTCAGAAATCAAATAATAAATCTATTATTTTGTCTGTATCCAAATGGTCCTACGGTGTCAAAGAAACTTAAAAACACCACAAAGATGAATTGCGTGCAACATGCTCTCGCAAGAGACAACTTACTTACTCCGATAAAATACTCTTTTAAGAGTATTTTTTTTTGTTAGAGAGTGAGGAATCTAGTTAAAAGTCATTATATCTGATCGGTTATTATCAATGAAAAGGTTTATATAAGTTTGCAATCTTATATTAGAGAAGTAAGGTGGAATTCCAAAATCCAGTAGAAAAGAGTTTAGAATTTGGAAATAAAAACCTTTCAATTAGTCATGTCGACTTCGGGGATGCATAGACAAAGAAAATGAAAGAATTTCAAGTTCTAAAAATGGTTTATGTTTTCTGTTTATATTCAAGAATTTCAAGTGTTTATATATTTGTTCAATTTATACTATTTTTTAAATTTTAAATTTCATAATTAGAATTAAACATGAATTTTCTAGTGATCGGGTTTCTTACATTGGAACTACATCTTCCGGCTATAGAGATGCACATTATCTATTATATATTAAGCGTGAGGAATGCCCCTTCTATTTTTGTGCCATGTGACCAATTTTTTCTTTTCTTTAATAAATTTCTCCCTTTATCTATAAGATTTCATCTTCTTTCCCCCTTTTATTTTTGTGCTATGTGTCCCATTTTTCATCTTCCTTAATAAATCTCTCCCAATACACACAAGTTTTTCTCTGCATCCTTAATAAATATCTCTCCCAATACACACAAGTTTCTCTCTGCAGTCTCTCTCTATTACACCTTTTTTTAAATATCTTTCTCATGTCTCATATTTCTTCCTTCCTAATAAATCAGCCTCCACCCCCACCCCCACCCTCACCCTCACCCTCACCCTCACCTTTTATGATTATCTCCCCATTTTTTTCTTTGAATTGGTCAAAATACACAAATTTTCTTACTTTTTATGGAGGATTAGATCCAGTAACAGGGGATCTATGGCTGATCGATATTGCACACCCTCATTTGGGTCACATGTATAGGACCAAATGGGGAATTGGTCATGGTCTAAAAGAGGTTTTAGAGGCTCTCCTTACCTACAAGATTTTATTTTCTCTCTCCTCTATTTTTGTGCCATGTATCCCGTTTTTTCTTCTTTAATAAATCTCCTTCCTCCCATTTAATTTTCTCTCCTCTCTCTCATCCTATTACAAATTTCTTTAAATATCTTCTCCTATTTTGTGTCACCTATTCCATCTTTCCTCCTTTCCAATAAATCACCCCCTACCCTTTCTACCATTTCTATCTCACTCCCTCTTTCTTAAAATATCTTTTCCATTTATTTTCTTAAAAACTCTTATCTCTTCCTTATTTATAACATCTACTGTTTCTATTTCTATCTCTATTTCCCTCTTTAATAAAATCTCCCCCATTTATTTTCTTAAAATCGCTCCTCTTAAAGGTCTCTCTCTCAACCGGTTCTCTCTATTTCTCTCTCTATTTTTGCACTTCCAATAACGTATAATAAAGAAGCCCCTTATTTCTCTTTGCCTGCCATGTTAGAAGCCCCTTATTTCTCTTTGCCTGCCATGTTAGTTTTTTTTTTACGTGTTACTCTTTTTATTTTCTCTAATTTGCACTTCTTGTCATTAATTGTAATCCTCTATGTGATAACTCTCATCTTAAATTTCACTTAAAGTATTTACTTTATTTCACTAATCTCCTCCTTTAAATCTCTCTCTCAATCTCTCCCTACCAAAATGTCTTTTTAGGAAAAACCTCTTTATAATCTCTCATCATAAACCCTCGTATCCCATCCCAAAAGCTTATCACGTCCCATCTTATCTCTCTCTCAAGTTCATTTATTTATTGATCTCTCACAGTGAGTTTTTAGCTCAAAAATATTTTCCTCAGAGCAAAGTAGAAGGTACGCTGTTTGTTTCTATCTCTATGTAGTATATTTTTCAAATTGTAATATGAATTTTGTATATATAGAAAATAATATGGTTTGTTCTCTCTGTCGTGAAACTCCATTAGAATAAAAAAAATTGAGGATTTAAATTCTTGAATAGTTTTAATTTTTTATTATAAACGTGAATATAGTAATAAAATAGTAGTATATTTTTCAAATTGTAATATGATTTTTTTGCATGTAAACGATGAGAGGTTTGATCTATCTCACACAGGTCATGAAGCTCAATTAGATTGAAAACAACTAAGGATTATTCTTGAATAGTTCAAATTTTTTTTATTATAAATTTGAACATAGTAATAAAATAATATTTATTATTACTTATTATTAATAATATTAATACTATTGTTATTTTATTTTTATTACTTTTTATTTTGATTGGTAATAAGTTATTTATTTATGCTATTGTCTCTTCTAGCTTTCGCTTGCTATTTTCCAGTTGTGTTATGCATCTATTATGAAATAATATTTAAATTTTTATTTTATAAGTTGTTTTTATCGTTTAAGGTAAAGCCCATGGAACTTAAATGCTTAGGGGAAAAAATGAATTTTTTTCCTTTTTGATCCTTATGTTAAATTATATCAATTTTGTTTCTATCTCAATTTAACCTTTTATGATTTTGAGTGCTTATATTTTAGTGTTTTATACTTGAATATCTTTTATTTTTTAATTATAAAATTTGAATTATTAATAATTATTCAAAACTGATATATTGTGATCCCATCTCCTTTAACTTTTTCTTAGTATTTTTCATTTGCATTATGTCCGTGATTATTCTATTTAAAATAATATTGAAAATCTTTCAGTTGCATTTAGTATTTTTTTATGCCAAATATTATATCTGAATTATTTCCTTTGTTCATGCTTTTTAAATAAAAATTATACTTCTTAAGTGAATGCAATAGAAAAAACACAACTTATTGAAAATGGTCATCTTCATTAATAAGCATGCATTTTTTATTAAGCATAATTATCTCTCTCACATTCAAGTCATTATTTCCCATGCGCAACAAAAAGCCCCAACTCAATAAAAAGCGTATATATTTTTATTTATAATAATTTATTTATCTCACAAGTTATTATTTTTCATGTTTATTTTTACTGGGAAACATGTGGGTTAAGGAAAGAAATATGTGTTAATTTCACCTTTCATCCCTGAATCTCTCACTCACTCTTTCTTTCCTTATCTCTCGTGATCTCTCTTTCTTTAAATATCTCTTCTCTCTTTTATTCTTAATCAATATATGTAAATTCTTATCACTCTTTTGTTTCTAATAAGGTTAATGCTCGTTGAGTATGCCTTAAGGGACTAATATATTAGATATAGAGATTAATAGGATCTAATGTTTTAAACTAGTACATTGGATATTAGCATTAGGAAGACCCTACATAAATTTATTTATTAGTTTTATTTATTTAGTTTGAATTATATATTTAAGTCATCTTCATTATTTAATTGTAAGTTAAATGGATCCGTGTTAATTAATAATATATTAAAAATAATTTTTATTGTCACATTTATTATTAATTAATAAAATATTCAATTGTGAAGATAAATGCATTAAATTCTTTCTCTTTAATATACCATGTTTTATTGAATTTTTTTCAATGATAAATATATTTCAGTGATTAATATTAAACATCACATGCAACACTTGCATATTACTAGTATAATATAAGGTGGACACCTTATACAAACTTGACCCTTGTATAAAATGAGTAATTGTCTTTTTTTACGAGAAATGTTTATATAAAGGTGCATTATACTATAAAAGTAAGGTGCACCTCAAAAATCCAGTAGAAAAGAGTTCTAAATTTACAAAACCTTCAAAATTGATCATGTCGACCTCAAGACTATGAAGAAAAAAAGAATTTCCTGCCTTGAAAGTAATGCATCTTGTAACAACTTATTTGGAGCATTTGTTTTCAAGATTTTTAAGTGGTATAAATTTGCTAGTTCCACACTGTTTTTGAAAGTTTAAGTTTTATAATTAGGGCTGAACATGGATTGTCTAGCTATCATAAAGTTTCTAACACCAATTAGCAATTACTATTCCAACAAAATTTAGAGGTATACTTTTTTTATATGGTACCTTCCTCATGCAAACCTCACCCTCCTATAGGGGTGACAATGGATCTGACCAGATTAGGGACCCAACGGGTCGACCCAACGTCGGGTCAATGAGTCCAAATTTTTTACACCAGAGGTCAAGTCCGAATCCAATACCTGACCCGAATATTATTCGGGAGAAGTCGGACCAGACCCGTTGCCACCCCGACCCTTTTAGATTAGCTAATTGGTTGAAAAGGTGAGATCCTTAATTTCCGGTCCGGGCAATGGATATATGTCACGTCAATGATTTTATAAGGGGTTTTAAATTAGATTCCCGGTTTTAAATGCTTGAACAGTATCTTCCCTCTCAAGGATGAATAAATATAATGGCAATAGATTTGAGTGAGGTGATTGATCCATCAAACAAATAAATATAATGATAATAGAAAATAATGGTAACGTCAAGATTTGGAATCTCTACCTCTCTATAAATGTTTTAAGTATTCCATATACAAACATACATCCCACCGTCCAAACATTAAAGAAAGAAATTCATAATAAAATATGCAGATATAAAAAGCTAACTATTTAGATGCAAACACGTATCACCAACTCAAGGGAAATGAATAGTGGAGGTGCACGTGGAAGTTCTTTTTGAATATTGGCTTAATGAATTTATGCGGAAATTGTGACCTAAGATAAATCAAAACCTTAACCCTAAATATTTTAG